ATCCCCCCTGGGAGGTGATTTCTTGCTTTCTGTCTCTCTGTCTGTCTGGCAAGCACAAGTGCCCTATGGCAAAAACCTCTCCAAAAAAAAAAACCTAACTGATTTGGAGGCCAGTAGATGGTGTGGTGGTTAAGGCCTTGGATGCCTACATAGCCAACCACAGTTCTAACCCCGGACCTGACAGCTTGAAAATCAGGCTGTGTGTGCCCCAAATCCCACAAGGATGGAGTAAAGGGATTGCAGCTTGGCTGTCTTTCCTGGGGGGTGATTTTCCACTTTCCCTTCTGCTATCTCTCTCCAGCAAGCATATGCACCTTATGGCAAAAATCTAAAAAATCAAACGAAAAAACCGAATTTTTATTTATTTCAGCTATGTTTTTCAGGTCTAATTGACCTGAATCCTTGAGTTGCTCAGAAGCCTCAACTTAAAAATAATTGCCCTTGAATAAAATTTAAAATTATTTTAAAAAAAGATCATATGAATCAAATCTACTTTATATTCATTGTGATGGTTAAAATAATAACACTCAAAAAATAAAAATTTTGGTAAAATATTTTTAAAATGTACCTTATCAAGGGACACAGAAATGAATTATCTGTTGATAACATGTATGATATCTGTAACTGGACTGGTGTGAAGTGTATCCATGCTGGGTAAATTCATTTTCCAAGCTACAGTGATGCACAGTGATTGAATGTATAAAATAAGTTAAAAAGTAAAACAGAACAAAAGAAAAAATACATGCCTTATCATCCTTGAGTCTCTCTGAATCTTACACTTTACATTGTCTTTTGTATTTCTTTAAACTTACAAATTGTTCATTTTATATAAAACTTCCAGTTGATCCAGCAATCCCACTTCCGGGTATCTACCCAAAAGACAGGTGAATGCTCAATCAGAAAAGTGCTTGCACATCAATGTTTATTGCAGCATTATTCACGACCACCAAGACATGGAACCAAACTAAATGTCCACAAACTGATGAATGGATTGGAAAAGGGTGGCATATATACTCTATGGAATACTATTCAGTCATAAACAATAACAAGACCCTGGCATTTGCTAGAAAGTGGTCAGATATGGAAGATCTATTGATAAGTGAAGTAAGCCAGGCTATGAAAGAAAGATATTGTATGTATCCACTTACTCTATCCCAACTATCCGCACTCTGGTAGAGAGCAAAATACTGGAGGACATAAAAGCAGTGAAAATACTTAATGAGGATAAGACAGTGTGGAATGTGGGGGGGTGAAGAGAAGAGGATAGAGAAAGATAGCAAGAGAACAAATAAAGAGTGATGACATTAGTGGGACACAGATATGGTTTATTATCTGTTGATGACGACACGTATAGTATTCTCAACTGGATTGGCCTGAGAAGTATTTCATGATGGGTAAAGTCTTTTTACAAACAAAATGAGAAATAGTGATCGACTAGTTAAAAAATAATTGGAATAATAATAATGATGATGGTGAAAAAAAATGAAAAGATATTAAATAATGAAGTGGGGATTTTAACGTCTCTGTATTGACTGATATGCATGGCATTCCCTTTTGAAAAAGCAATGTAATACACTGCAAAGTTATTTGTTATTCAATGTAATATAAACAAGATTATGATGATAATAAATCAATTTTAAAAAAGAAAACAAAAAAATTGTTCATTTTATAGTCTATATCTGATAATTTGGATATCTAAGTCTTTGCCTATTTGGATCACCTCTTGGGTGATTCTGCTGAATCTCAGTCCTATTTCTTGTTTAACACTTTTTTGTGATATTTGACTATTAAATCTATTATCTGAATCTGATCTGAAGGAATTAATGGAGGACTGCAGTTGAAGTTTCTTTCTGCCAGAAAGAATTTATACTTGCTTTTGGCAGTCAATTTAAAAACTATTTTCTAATAAGGGATTATGGCATAGTCATCTCCCATGGGGGGTGATTTCTCGCTTTCTGTATCTCTCTCACTTTCTGGCGAGTGCACGCACTCTATAGCAAAAAAACTCTCAAAAAAAAAGGGGGACCAGCAGTTAGCGTAATGGCTATGTCACTGGACTCCCATGTAGTTGACCATGGTTCAAGTCCCGAACCTGGCGTCTCAAACTCATGCTGGGTGCATGTGCGTGCGTGCCCAAGATCCCAAGAGGAGAATGGAGGAGAAGGGATTGTGGCGTGGCCATCCCCCCAACCCCCGCCCCAAGAAAGTGATTTCTCACTTTCTATCTCTGTCTCTGCCTGTCTTTCTGGTGAGTGCACATGCCCTGTAGTGAAAACCTCTCAAAAAAAAAAAAA